GCACCGTGAGCTGGTGCAGACACACTGACTGTGCAGAAAGTGCACCCAACCATAAAAAACAGTGCACAAGTTGTTACTGAGTGACGGTCCAAGTTACCCAGACACATCTGTTAGGACACCACCACGGCACAGATGTTTTCTGTGACACACAAACTTTAAACCTTCTTGTATGTAGAGAGTATAAACTGTGAGTGAGCGCTGAAATGAACCATACGATGATGAACTGGCAAAGGTTCAGTCCGCTGCTTTGTAAACATTGGCTCGTATTTGTTGTTATAAGATGAGATGCCGTCCTCCTGAGCAGCAGTAGATATCTTTGTATTCTCCCTCCTCCCACAGTTTGACTGCATCACCTGGTGAGAAAACCTTTGAAGTAAAGATTGTGTCTCCTGTGGAGCAGTTCACCAGGATTTGGATCCAGGTCCTGGATCGTCGGGATGGCTCATTCCTGGTCCGCTACCGAATGTACGCCACCTACTCGGAGCTTCACGTCCACGTTTTGCTGAAGAACGAGCACGTTGCCAAGTCACCGTTTGTTCTCAAAGGTAGGGCGCGGTCCGTGAAGCTGCGAGGTTCACTCTGATAAATGACATCATGGACTTGATTCCTGCTCACGCTCCAATCCTGAGTCTTCACCTGCTGTTTTTGCTGGATCCAGAAACTTAATGAGTCAGTGTTGTCGTCTGCAGGCCCGGTCTATCACGAGGGATGCGACTGTCCCCGGGAGAGCGGCTCTGCGTGGGAGGCCCACATGCACTGCCCTCCGTCCTTCGCACAGATAGAGAGGGACCTGTCCTTTTACCCGAGTGTCGACCCAGATCGTAACGCACAGGAGATCCCACAGCGCTTCGGACAGCGGCAGAGCCTCTGCCACTACACCGTCAAAGACAACAAGGTGATTCCACCTGGGGAAACGAACACAGACGTATCATAGGTGTTTATGTTTTACCTGAGAGGAAGCTGAGAAAGTCAGCTTGTGGGCCTCTCAGTCATCCAGCCAGGCCTTCTTAAACCACGACACCATGTAGGCCTCTGGACACACATCAGAACCAAAGGTGAGTGTAGAAGGGAAGAATATGAAGGGTAATGTTCCTTCATCCTGGACCCTGGAGCTGTGTGACTCACCTGTAAGAGCAGAGCCAGGTGTGCATGAGTGCTGCGGTGATAGCGATGAGTCTAAAGCCCGGTTCACACACTGCTCGCATTACATGAGAATATTCAGGAACGGATCCGCTTCCATGACTAGTTCCCTCTAAAGGTATGACTGTGGTAAAGTGAAATTGATGCTTTTAGTAGTAAAAACTACGACAGTAGTACTCTGCTACTGCATTTCATACTGTGTGTGTGAGTGCAGCCGAGTCCCTTTATCAGAGGTGAATGTGATGAGTGTCACACTTCAGGGTTTCTGTTGCTTTGTTCCGTCCGTCCGTTAAACTGCATCAAAAACTGCTTTGTCTTTGTGTCAAATTTGAATGTGAGCTGTGGATAAATGTGCTCAGTGTTCACTTCATATCTGAACACTTTAAATGAACGAGAAGGAATAAAGTCTTTCCCACATTTCCCAGCATGCCGAGTTGTTTATTTATTTTAATGTCTGCATCATTTTACAGCTCTGTCTGTTTTCTTTATAGTTTATTGAAATACTGAAGTCACTGTATCATTGCAGCAACGACTCAGCTGCCACTGACTCCTGTAATCCTGTGCAGCGGTGTAATCTATTACCTGTGACGGTAATCTTGGATTGGTGAGCAGCTGTTTTCTGTAATGTGTTTCTGTTGTCTTTAGATCTACGTGAGGACATTTGGGGAACATGTCGGGTTTAGAATCTTTATGGATGCCGTCCTGCTGTCTCTCACCAGAAAGGTAATCCGTGTTTACGTTTACTCAGCCGTCGCTCAGACGACCAGAAACACACTTTGATTTTAATGTCTGTATATGTTGATGCATCAGGGATGAAACGTTCAGACACAACTGGTGCAGTGCATGCTGGTTATCATCGTCATCATCAGTGCAGATATGCGATCAGACGGTGGCAACAGTAATGATTATCATGAAACATTTTCAGGTGCGGCTCCCTGATGTGGAGTTCTTTGTTAATCTCGGTGACTGGCCGTTGGAGAAGAGGAAGCCTCCCGAGAAGCTTCATCCCATCTTCTCCTGGTGTGGCTCCAATAACACCAGAGATATCGTCATGCCGACCTATGACCTGACCGAGTCCGTCCTGGAGACCATGGGGAGGTAAAGCTCTGTGTGGATTCAGCTAAAGTATTGCTACGTTACCACGGAAACTGGCAGTAAATTCAATTCAGTTTTATTTACACAGCACAAAATCACAGCAGCAGTCGCCTCAAGACGCTTTATATTGTAAGGTCGACCCTACAATAATACATACAGACACAAACACAATCGTATGATTCCCTATCTGCAAGCACTTTGGCGACAGTGTGAAGGAAAAACTCCCTTTTAACAGGAAGAAACCTCCAGCAGAACCAGGCTCAGGGAGGGGCGGGGCCATCTGCTGTGATTGGTTGGGGTGAGAGAAGGAAGACAGGATAAAGACATGCTGTGGAAGAGAGACAGAGGTTAATAACAGATATGATTCAATGCAGAGAGGTCTGTTAACACATAGTGAGAGAAGAAGAAACCCCCAGTGCATCATGGGAATCCCCCAGCAGCCTACGTCTATTGCAGCATAACTAAGGGAGGATCCAGGGTCACCTGGTTCCTGCTCCTCTTCATGTACGCGTGCTCTGCCATCACCGAGGCCGTCAGTAAGCAGACTGCAGTATGAGCCTGCATTTCCTCCTCTCACCTTGCTGCTGTTTGAGTTGATATTTAATGCAGGTGTGATGATGAGAGCTGTTTAATGTTGGACCCTCACCTGTGAGGTTAGTGATGTCACAAACTGCAGAGGATGTAACATTCAGCACGTCCTCTGCTGTACAGGGTGAGCCTGGACATGATGTCGGTTCAGGCCAACACGGGGCCGCCGTGGCCCGAGAAGAACGCCACCGCCTTCTGGAGGGGGCGGGACAGCCGACAGGAGCGCCTGGAGCTGGTCAAGCTTTCGAGGGCTCACCCGCACATCATAGACGCCGCCTTTACTAATTTCTTCTTCTTCAAACACGACGAGAGCCTCTACGGGCCGCTCGTCAAACATGTTTCGTTTTTTGACTTTTTCAAGGTGAGATGAATTATATTCCATAAAAACGCTTTTATTACGTCAGATATTCTTATACCAATGTGTGTGTCTTCATTGTGTCCATGCATCACCAGTACAAGTACCAAATCAACATTGATGGCACTGTGGCAGCTTATCGGCTGCCGTACCTGCTGGCGGGGGACAGCGTGGTCCTGAAGCAGGATTCTGGGTACTACGAACATTTCTACAAGCAGCTTCGAGCGTGGGAGCACTACATCCCTGTCAGGGCAGACCTGGGAGACCTGCTGGAGAAGATCCAGTGGGCGCGTGACCACGACGAAGAGGTGACGAGAACACGTGACTGGATCCTCGCTGGTTTCACTAATGACGAGTGAAGGTGGTGTCATTTTGTTTTCTTCTTTCAGGCAAAGAAAATTGCTCTCGCAGGTCAGCAGTTTGCCCGCAGTCACCTCATGGGAGACACCATCTTCTGTTATTACTACATACTGATCAAGGTAATGTGATTACAGTTTCAGAGTTACTGCACGACTGAAAAAGTATACAATGTTACTACTCACGCAGTCTTACTGTGCTCGCGCTGCGTCGCACTGACGCAATGCTGATCATTCTCCATTCGGACCGATGTGAATGTGTCGCACTTCCCTCACATGTCATATTTATGCGTGCGAACTAGGAGTACGCCAAACTCCAGGTCACCGAGCCGAAGATCCGGAAGGACATGGAAGTCGTGGAGCAGCCTGCTGATGACCTGTTCCCATGTTCCTGCCACAGGACAAACGTGAGAAACACCCAAATGCTTTGTTTGCTCTGCAGCTTGTCTGCAGATCCTAATGATCTTATTTTACTCTTTGCACGTTAAGAAGAGGAAACAACGTTAAATCTGGGATAGTTTTATTATTCTACAGTCTGTGGCGCCATCTGGTGTACGTGAGGCGTCACTGCAACCACCAAGAAGCCACGTTAGAGTGAACGTTTGGACCAACGTGCTGTTCTAACAGGAGTGTTTTCATGTTTGTTTTTCAGGTGAAGGATGAACTGTGACTGAGCTCCTCCCATTTCATAACTGACAGCCTTTTCTTTTCAAGTGCCAATCAATTGTATGACTATGGTTTGAATATCTGATTCTTATTTTTCAATAAATGCTTTTAATGTGTTCAGAGCGTGTTTTTCTCTCTGATGTCAGATTATTTACTCAGTGAGGTTTAGTGTCAGCCCTGAGGTTGAGCAGCTGACCGCTGTGCCTGCTGGAAAATCAGCCGTGGCCACGCCTTCAGTTTACCTGACGGATAAAACAGAACGGAAAACATTTAAAATAAAAATCGTATCCTTGTGAAAAAGTAAACAAACGGAAGTGTCATAAAGTTAATGCTGCTGTTTATAACTGACCTGCAACCCTGTTGCATGGTTTAGATTTGAACCACAAAGCATCGAGTCGCTGTTGGTGAGGAGTCACTGCCCTGTACAAAGTGATATTTTTGCTGAGATATTTATCCTGATATATACAATCAAAGATGCTCAGTCATGGATAAAACTGAAAGTATGAAACATGATAGAGAGTATAGGGTGATGTTTCAATTGATCAGATGTCAGTAATATCCAACAATGTGCCCGTGTGCAGAGTGACTGGGAAGGAAGGGAAGTGTTACAGAGACTGACCATTATGTTTCCAGTGCGTCCACTGGATAAAGATATATTAAAAAGCGAACAATCTGAAACACATAATTTTAATGAAACATAAACATTTCAAACCATTTATTTCTTTTTTTAATAAAAAGTACTTTAGATACAGGTTTGGTGACGCTGTAGTGACCACTCCTCCCCGCCAGGTGTCACTAATACGTATTGAAGTCCTCGGTGTTCCAGAGAAGAAGCTGCTTGTGATGGAGACGTTTCTGGAGGTAAATATGAAAAATAAAAAGCAAACATGTCAGAAACCAGAGTCAGGTTAGAATGAAACGGAACTCGAACCAGGAGCCCGGAGCGCCGAGAGGACGGGGTGCACGAGAGGCTAGCGCGCGCCACGTCCTGTGGGCTCGGTGTGCTTCACAAACACCTGCGCAGGTTAGAAAGCCTGTAGGCAGTGAGCGCAGCAGGAAGTGTAAGCCTCGGGGAATTCAAAGGTTTCGAGTCTGATTTTGAATAAGAGCGTGGCTGGAACTGATCTCAGACCAGCAGGCAGCTGGTTCCAAAGATCAGGACCACAGTAAGTGAAGCACCTCCAGCCCCGAGCTCTGGCTCTGGAGCAGCTGATGACCTGACAGGTGTGACCGGGTTAGAGACACGGACCAAACCACAGAGAGCTGTATGAACTATCAGAAGGATCGTAAAGGTCGCAGGGAGCCGGTGTGGAGTAATGTGGTCACGTGTGTGTGAGGATGAATGAGCTGATGATCTGGAGAGTTACAGTAATCTGCTGGATGTGATGGACCAGTGAGTCAGAGTCAGCTTGAGATAAGACTTCTGATTTTTCAAGTATCACCATGTAATCACCTTCACTGCTCTGTAAAGGTCGGGAGAGAGAATGGTTGGCTGTGAGGTGCTGAATCGGTGCTGAATCGGTGCTGAATCGGTGCTCGCTGGCTTTCAGGAGGCGGTGAAGGTGCCGTTTGGGGCCAAATCTTTAGATGCTGCCCTGTGCGTCCCTGCCGCCATGTCGGACGCTCACACCGCCGTGATCCTCACGCACGGAGCCGGGGGAGACATGAACTTCAGTCAGCTGGTTTCTCTGGCTCACCAGCTGGCATCACACGGTTTCCTGTGCCTGCGCTTTACATGCAAAGGTTTGAACCTGGCTCACAGGCTGAAGGCGTACACTGCTGTGTGGGTACGTCTTAAAGTCAAAACTGCACTCACTGCTTTACGTGCAATATTACACATTTTTTGTAGAGCACCAGTATGATGTAACGTGTGCTGTGTTTCCACCTGTAGGACTACCTGAAGTCACTGCAGAGGTTCACAGTAAAACGCGTCTTTTTTGGAGGTAAGAAGCCTTAAGATGTTCAAAACAAAAGAGGAAGAGCTCAGAGCAGAAACGCTGTCGGGTCATTTGGTCTCACGTACTTCAGTTTGCAAAGTGTTGTTGTACCTTAACAGTTTACTTTGGTGGGAAGTGTTAATGTGGTAAAACAGACCCCACGTTGATAAAGACCGCACTCTGTCCATGAGCGCCTGCCTTTAACTGATGACATCACCAGATACCACATCTTCACCTCTGAACCTCCATCTATGTTTCAAATGAAGACGAGGACATGCAGCAGTGTAGAAATAACTGAGTGGGAGTCCTTGAACACTGTGACGTTTCCACAGGCAGGTCGATGGGGTGTCGTGCGGCTGCAGCTTTAGCTAGGCGACTGAGCGAGGAATCCGAGGCTGCGGTGGAGGGTGTGATCTGCTTGTCTTTCCCCCTGCACCCCCCAGGACAGACGCATGCACACCGCCAACGGAGCGAAGATCTAAGGGTGCTGCCGGCGCACACGCGTGTGCTGTTTGTGTCGGGCACTGAGGACGACATGTGTGACAGGGTGAGGAATGAGATTCATACCTAATGCATGTTTCCTTATTAAACTATTAGAAGACTGTCCTGTGTGCTCATTGTTGCTGTTCTGTTTGCATGTAGTTCTGATGCATCTGTGTAACGGGACATTGCTCTTGTTCTTGGGACGTGCTGCAGTGCTCACTCTGCTCTGTGTCCTCGCTCAGGTTCACTTTGACACGACGGTGAAAGAGATGAAAGCTCAGGTTGAGATTTTGTGGCTACGAGGAGGCAGCCATGGACTGAAGGTGAAAGGCCGTTCTGAGGTGTCCGTGATGGAGGAAGTGAACCTAAAAGTCATCTCTTGGATCAGGAATCAGGCGGCACAGGCCCCTTAATGTCCTCTCGTTAAATCTGTTGCTTTTGTTCCAATAAACGATGGCAGTATTTCACAGTGGGCGTCTGTGTGAACACACGGGGAGCTTTTATTCTGCACAGTATGTGAAATCCGAATCTTAATGTGCAACATGGTGATGAATGTTGATAAATCAGTCTGTGCAGACATTACTCTTCCTCACACTTCCTCTCCATATTCATCTGAAGTCAAATCAAATCACTTTTATTGTCACATCACATGTGCAGGTACATTGGTACAGCACATGTGAGTGAAATTCTTGTGTGCGAGCTTCACAAGCAACAGAGTTGTGCAAAATACAATAATGTAAACAAGCAAAATACAAGAATGGCTACATCTGAAACTAATAAATATATGTACAATATATAATAGTATATGCATTTCTGGATGTGTATACTAAATATTTTTCTACGTGTGTGTGTGTGTGTGTGTGTACACATATTTTACAAATTAAATAGAGTAAACAATAGATAAAATATATAAAAATATACAGAGTTGAGACATGTGCAAGTCATAACTCATTAGAGTTTAAAGGTGTTTTTCTGCTGCACAGACTACCTTTAGCAGCACTGAAAACTATGCAACAAACAGTTCAGGAGTTGTACACGAGAAGACGTTTGTTTGGGATTGAGGAGCCTTAATGTGTTACATAAGAACAGTCCTGGTTTATGGGTCAGGAGGAGCCCCTCAGAGGCCGCCTGCAGCACAAAGGAGAACACCGAGGGGATGATGATGCTGTCGGGCTGTGAGAGGAGCTGAAAGAAACTCTTTCACATGGAGGTTTTCACATCGACCCCTCGCTGAAGTTCCTCTATGAGTGTAAAGTGGAAGACGACCCTCGGTTTGAAGTTGAGTGCTTGCTTCCTGCCTGTACTGTCACAATAAAGTGCTGTTCTCCTGACAGCACCTTGTGGCACAGCGGTGGTTTGTGCCGTGTTTCAGTATAAAGGTCACTTTTTCAGGGGCTTCAGTTTTGACCCTCACCGTGTTTGTTTGGATGAAAGAATTATTCTGTTATTGTGTACAAACAGGAATAACGTATATGTTTACAAATGCTGTGTTAATAATCCATTGCTCTATTAAACACGTTTATTGTCATTATCCTCGTTGTGTTTTCATAATTTTAATATTTATTGGCCTTTATTGTTTCTACGCTTTTGTTCTGATCAGTTCGTGATAACTACTCGGATGAATCATTTGTGTTGTAAGCACTTTAGCAGAGCACACTCGGCGACTGCGGTGCCTTTAACACAGACGATGACGTTTACGCGTGCTCGAACGCCATTGGCTGTGGGACTTCCGGGTCGTATTTTGTTTTTCAGGCAGACTCGAGCATGGCCGTGGAGCTCTGGAACAGAGTCAACGTCCCTTTTCCCAGCGCCGTGTCCGCTGTCCGCGTGCCCTTCACCGCACAGACAGGTACGAGCCGCAGCGCGCGGTCACTGACGTGCTGTGTGTGAAATAACACGCCGCATGCGACCCACGCGGGAGAGCCAGGACTCGGCGCCGCGTGGCTGTGAGGTGACGATGATGATGGTGTTTGTGTTTGTGCAGCTGCAGACGTTGAAACGCTGCTGACGGAGCGCGAAAATGTGCTGAAGCTGCTCCGCAGTGAGATGCTTCAGACGGAGGTCAGGCTGCTGTACGAGCTGCTGTACGTCCTGAACAACAGCTACCGGGGCAACAAGACGTTCAAGGCGCTGAAGCAGGTGAGCGCTGTCTCCAGGGCAACCGTGGGTGTGTTCATTAAGAGCTCAGGGCAACTCGGAGCGCGCCCACCTGAGCTCCGAGTCACGTACAGGTGTACCCGACAGCACGATCTGATATCGTCGTGTCGGTGTTGTTCCCAGATCATCATACTAAATGTTGTTCCAGGATCAACATTGCAAGTGACCAATCAGAATGTTGTGACGTCATACTTTTGCGACTTCGGGAAAAACCGCCGTAAAACAAAAAACTGTACTTAAGCTGCGAGAAACCGCCTCTGTCCGCCGATCAACGGACCCTGACCCTGACCCTGACCCTTTAATAAACGCTGAGCAGAACTGATATTGTCCTTGCAACATTGGAATTTCATAAATGCACGAATGGCTTGGCGCGCAAAAGAATAACGTCACAACAATGTGATTGGTCACTTGCAATGTTGATCCTGGAACAACATTTTCATGATGATGTGGGAACAACACCAACACGACGACAACATGTTCCTCCTCCATGCAGCCAGGCAGCCTGTCGGTCACAGTAGGGATGGATGACGCCACGTCTGTATGTCCTATACTGATGTCATAGATTTGGATATCTGCCGATACCGATATGACTCCGGTATAGTCTGCTTTTAGTCATAAATGTCATATTAAGATTTTAAAAAAAGCAAAAAAACGACTAAAGTTCTTCTATTATACTTGTAAGCAGCCAAAATACTGCTCAGCTCAGCTGATCTTTTTATTTAAAGCTTTGAAACAAACGTCATCACCGGTATCCAAGAACATTACAAATTCCAACTTTAGATCTAAGTATTTAAAGTAACATTCAAAACGCAGTTTTATGCAAAGTAATGAAAAACACATGAAGCCCAATATCATCACAAAATAATGTTTGTACTCAACAACTTGATTGATTGATT